TTTTTTTGTGAGTTTTTGCCCTTTTTTGCAGAAGAGGCTGGCTAAGCGGCATATTAGGATCATCCTAGGTTGTGTTTGGCACTACTCCTCCGTTGCCCCCAAGGTCTCACCTCTACTACTGGTAGTCGGGTTGCTTGCTTTCAAGCAGGGGGGTCTACCAGCTCATTGGGTCACAGCGCTTGGGCTTCCCATAAGGATAATGTAGCCCGCAACCCTCTCATACCGTTAACCATAAAGATAACGGTAAACCCTCGTGGGGCACGGTTGGTAACATGGATTCATCCGAGTCCACTCTCGCCTTGTGCAATGTTGACGGTTGTTCGTCACCCCTGCCTCGGGGCGATGATCACCAATTCTGCCTCCGTCAGGCTGCCTGTTGGGTCGGTGACCCCTTCGATCCTCAGTCTTAAAGGACTTGTTCTTTGCTTGTGCTGCATCTTATGCTTTCCTCATCTGCGGATAAGAGGTTTCAGGCAGCAGCAGCGTTGTTTCAGGAAGCTCACTTCTTGCATTGCGCCTGGTTGGTTGCCCTTTTGGAGGCCCTGGAGCTGCCCCATTTGGATTTTACGACGCAGGTTTTCGGACTGTTGGTCGATTCACCTTTGGTTCCGTCCTCGCCCCCGATACCTTCTCGAGTATTTGGCTCTTAAGTGTTTGCCCTTCTCGAGTGTTTACCCTGGTTCTCCCTCCCTTTTTCGGGCTCCTAATCATCTGGTGGTTTCGGGGTCGGATGGGGTTAGGGGGTTAGGCTGGAATGATGCTCAGGTTGCTTCGGGGGTTGCCCCTTAAAACTCGGGTGCAGAGGAGATTGAGCCCGTTCTTCCCGCCGAGGTTTCTAGTTCATCCCCAGCCACCTTCCTTCTCGGAAGCCTTTTCCTTGGACACTGCCTTTTCTTTAGAGATGGTGGCGTGGATGAGGGATGTGAGAGTATACCTCTGAGAATTGCACAATACCCACAGGCCCCGCAAGTGGATGCCAGATGTGAGGTTATATTCTCAATTGATTCCTAATCTAAGGAATCAGTTGAGAATATAACCTCACATCTAGCATCCTCACATCCGCAATTCTCAGAGGTATTCTCAATTGAGATATAGCCGAGAGAAAACGCCGGAGTCCAATTACCTGATATTCCACTACCTAAGTCGTTAGCTTCTCAATTGCTTGTAGCAATCTTGAGGAGTAGCAAATGGGTTCCCACACCAAATTTTTGTATTTAGTGTTTGGGCTATGATTAGGTTTGATCCCAAGAGCCATCGGGCGTGTCCATTGTTCTGGTGGAAAGTCTGTCCTGGTTCATTCTTACTTCCAGTGGTGGTGGGGGGGGGGGGGTGGAGGTCGACGCCGTTTCCTTCCTTGGCTTTGCATGGCGTATGGCCGCCCAGGGGTTTGCATGGCATATGTCGTTGCCTCTGTCGAAACCTCTTCACGTCGGTGTGGGATCGGCCTCTCCCTTTGTCGGTGGTGCCGTTCCCCGACTGCGAGGGTGTTGTGGTCGATGTGGCTCCAGGTCCTGGCTCGCTTAGAATCCTTTTCAAAATTTTTATACAAAATCTTATTATTATAAGATTTTAATCCTGGCTTCACGGTGGCTAGCCCGGCATTGGTTTCAGGTGATGCTTGCTTAAGTCCTAACCCTGGGTGTTTCTCCGCGTCTCCACCTCTACAGCAGATTGAGCCAGTTGTGCGACTTCCTAGTTTCTTTAACTGCTCCACAATTCACATCTGATCTTTTTAACGCAGGTGTAGCACCATTTCTATGATGATCTAGTGGCTTTTTTTAAGGTGTTCCACTTGCGTTCTTCTTCCTGGCAACATTATGATGTCTTTTGGCAGGTTTTTCGTCAGTTCCTTTCCATTCTGGAATTTTCGTCGATCTTGGACCAGGATGTTTTGTCTTTTCTCTCTTGAATTTTTATAGACTGGCTTCTCATGCCGTATACGGTGACTTTGTATTGAGCAGCGTTGGTGGAGTCGCTCCACCTGGCGTTCATGGTGGATGTTACTTCCACCTCCTTCCATGAGGCCTGCTTGTTGGCCTTGGCCTCTGGTGCATGGGGTAGCCTCCCTACCCGCTTATGCTCTCTTCCGGCGCTGAGGATTCTGTTCCTCTGGTTATGGTGGTCAGTTTGTTTGGTTGCTGCCTTCTTCTTTTTTGGCAGAGAATGAGATGGCGGACATTCGAAGGTGTCATGTGAAGGTCGTTGCTTGGTTGGTTCAGCCGGGAGTGTATCACGTGTTTTGTCTGGTGGTGGTTTTATGTCGCTGCCTGCGGGCAACTGGTTCCGTGCTGGTGGACGTTTTTTTAATGGTTCCAGTTTTCTTGGTTCCTTGTTCCGAGACTCGTGTGTGTCACGAGTCTCCGATGCTCCGCAGTGTCACTACGTTCAGCCAGCTTGCGGTCTCCTCTCAGGCCCTTGACGTGCAAAAGTATGTGGCACTCGCTGCAGTGTTTGGTAATAAGACTTGGGTTGTCATTCTTGCACTGGGGTTTTGGTGGTCAAACAGGGTTCTGGCTACCAGCTATCAGCATCTGGATCGGCACACGTTCCGGTGCCGATCCGGATCTGTGTTGCTTTGGGGAGTTTGATATGGCAGACAGTTTCTGCTTCACATTGAGATGTACAGTGTTGCCGCCTCCCGAGTAAGTCCCTAGTTTCTTTCTATGTGGGTAGTTAGCTACAGGGAGCCGATGGGGCTCTCCCCAGAAAGCTAGTGTTGAATGTAATGAAATGCTCTTTTCTGGAGGGTGGCCCTGGAGGCTCCCTGAGACCCTCCCTCCCTCTGGTCAGCGGTTTTTTCTATCAGACTTCGGACTGGAGGGTGGACAGTGGACTCTTCTTCTTCTTGAGAGTAGGTGCAGTTTGCATGAAAAGCGTATCCTTCCCATTACTGCACCAGGACAGATGTTAGGAGACGTGCTTATGTTAAGAATAATAAGGGTCAAAAGTGATTGCCGTGAGGAGCCGTAGACAGAGGAGTGGAAAAGAAAAAAGAGGTGGACGGGTGACGGAGACCTGCCGCACCGGAGGGCGGCAGGTCTGTCGGCACCTCTCTGAGCCCCTCACAGCCTCGCCACCAACGGTGGAGGACTCAGGAGCACCATACTCCCCCACCTCCTCCCAAGGCACACCACAAAGGAGAGCCACACTTCGAGCCCGCCACGATCGCTTCGAGACAGGTCGCACCACACCACTCCTACAAGGCCCCTCTGCAGGCATGACCACCATCAACGCATCCACACAGTCCACACCCACACCGTCCAAAGAATCCACAGAGGCCACATCACCCACACTGTCGACGTCATCTAGAGAAACAACCTGGAAAAACCGGCGTGCACGTTTTTACAAAGGGATGGAAGCATCAGAATGACAGTCAGCGAGACACAGGCATGGTAGGCACCTCCCCCGGCCGAAGCACCCCTCCCCCCCCCCAAAAAAAAAAAACAGTAGAACCCGCCCCCTCAGGGGCCGGGACCACATCCACAGGCGGAATGTGGTCCTGGCATCCTCCATTACATGCAGCGTAGGTGACAACCCGACACCCACGCACACCGGCTCAACAACCCCTGGGGCCATAGCAGTTGCCAGACGTGTCTCACAAGTCATTGAACCCGCCGCAACAGGCGGAGCAGCAGACAGGCAATCAGGCACGTCGCACGCTGCTGCCAGATGCCCCCACGTGACCACACCTATAACAGGTGCACGGTTGTTCCCGATACAGGCAGCGGAGCATGTAACCCAACACGGACACTACTTGCACTACACTTCAGCGACATCGTCAGGGTGCAGGAGCCGTCAAGCATACCAGTACAGTGTCCGGCAAGGACCTTGTTCCTACGATCACTTAACACAGTCCCAAACCATTCAAAACAAAGTTAAAAGATCGTCTTGAAATTCTAAGGGGGCACCAAGCACCGTCACATACGTCAAGGCGACACTAAGATTTAATACTTTTAGAGAATAGGTGGTATCAGGCAGATTATAAACACGCCCCTCACACCACCTGAGAAATGCCTGAAAGGCAGCCTGGTGGTGGAACGTGACCACAGCACAGTTGCCCTGAAGCAGCTGGACGTCCACTAAGTCCGATAGCTGCACATGGAGGACGTCCTCCAGGGCAACACCAACCAACAGATGGTCCACCAGCACCGTAAAAGCCAGACCAGCTGACAATGTCTTCTTCACTGGAGGCTGAGAAGTCCCCATGGCAAATCCGAACGTCACTTTGTCAGTGGCGAACCACCACCAGGCAGGGCAACCAACAATCGTCCAGTCCAACGTAAACACTAGCCAGGAGCGGAGAGTTCTCAGGAGCTTCCGACCCGGCTGGTGGTTGCCACCCAACTCCCACATAGTGGACTCACCTGACCCGGCTCCTGCCAATGGTCGGGGAAGGGGGTTCCACTAACTAGCTGGAATATTAGTTTCGCGTGCTGAGTTGCGCGTTTTCGTTTTCAGTAATTATTTAGGGGAAGTCTCTTGGCTCATTCGGGCTGTAGATCGTATTTTGTCAGCTGTTTTAGTTGCTTGAAATTTTATTCTAATTCATTGTTTCACTTTTCAGTTTATTTCTCGTAATTATTCTCATTGACATTTACGTGGGAGTATAACAGTTGTTGGCGCCACCCAGTGTGTGTGTGTGAGATATTGGTCAAGTTCTTGACACTAGAATGTATAATTCTGTCCTGGGATATAGTGTGACTCGCTTTACGTTAATCATTATTTAATAATACCCAAGAGTTAAACAATATTCATAATTTAGAGAACTCTCCATTTCGCGCCAGGAAATTGAGGATCAGCTTCTCATAATTTCCGGCAGCCTGAAAGTGATCACAGCACGAGTGCCGGGCTGGGCTGCCATATGTAATCTTATGGTGTGTTAACAGCCATGCCAGCCTTTCAGTCTGGCTGTGATTGGTAAGGTTGCCGGTAGTGCCCGGGAGATGTGCCCAGGAGAGGTGCCAGGGAACCTGAACTCTAATATGGTCCTTTTCTTCCAGAGAGCAGGTCCAACAGGAAGCTCAAGGCCAACAAGCTGGACGAAAGAACCTTGGAAAGGCTTAGAGAGAACAGAAGGAAAGAAATTGAGATGTGGGATATCATTAAAGAAATCTTTGCTTATTCCATCTTCCTCTGGGTATTCCTCACAATTACTTACGGTACCAGGTGAGTATCGTGCAATACCAGGTGAGTATCGTGCAACATCAGGTGAGTATTGTGCAATACCAGGTGAGTATTGTGCAACACCAGGTGAGTATTGTGCAACACCAGGTGAGTATCGTGCAACACCAGGTGAGTATCGTGCAACACCAGGTGAGTATCGTGCAACACCAGGTGAGTATCGTGCAACACTAGGTGAGTATCTTACAACACTAGGTGAGTCTCGTGCAACACTAGGTGAGTATCTTACAACACTAGGTGAGTCTCGTGCAACACTAGGTGAGTCTCGTGCAACACTAGGTGAGTCTCGTGCAACACTAGGTGAGTCTCGTGCAACACTAGGTGAGTCTCGTGCAATGCTAGGTAAGTATCGTGCAACACTAGGTGAGTCTCGTGCAACACTAGGTGAGTCTCGTGCAACACTAGGTGAGTCTCGTGCAATGCTAGGTAAGTATCGGGCAACACTAGGTGAGTCTCGTGCAACACTAGGTGGGTATCGTGCAACACTAGGTGAGTCTCGTGCAACACTAGGTGAGTCTCGTGCAACACTAGGTGAGTCTCGTGCAATGCTAGGTAAGTATCGGGCAACACTAGGTGAGTCTCGTGCAACACTAGGTGGGTATCGTGCAACACTAGGTGAGTATCGTGCAACACTAGGTGAGTATCGTGCAACACTAGGTGAGTATCGTGCAACACTAGGTGAGTATCGTGCAACACTAGGCGAGTATCGTGCAACACTAGGTGAGTATCGTGCAACACTAGGTGAGTATCGTGCAACACTAGGTGAGTATCGTGCAACACTAGGTGAGGGCCGTGCAACACGAGTCAAGGACTGTGCAACACGAGGCGAGTGCCGTGCAACACGCGGCCAGTGCTGTGTAACACACGGCAAGAGCCGTGCAACACGAGGCGAGTGCCGTGCAACACGCGGCCAGTGCTGTGTAACATACGGCAAGAGCCGTGCAACACGAGGCGAGTGCCGTGCAACACGAGGCGAGTGCCGTGCAACACGAGGCGAGTGCCGTGCAACACGAGGCGAGTGCCGTGCAACACGAGGCGAGTGCCGTGCAACACCAGCGGGCCATGAATGAGTACCTCAGAGTGATGAGAGAAGCAGAGACAGAGAGAACATGAAAATGACATGGCAAATAAAGCAGAGATCCAACCCAAATTGCTTCACAGCCACACTAGGAGGAAACACGAGTATGTGTTACTGTGTGAGAGTTGATGGTTAACAGGAGTCTTAGAGTTATTTTGCACGTGTAAGAGATAGTGTTTGTGGTAATGTGGTAAACAAGAGTCATCAATAAGGTACAATAGTTGGTGGTAATGTGGTAAACAAGAGTCATCAATAAGGTACAATAGTTTGTCGTAATGTGGTAAACAAGAGTCATCACTAAGGTACAATAGTCTGTGGTAATGTGTAAACAAGAGTCATCACTAAGGTACAATAATCTGTGGTAATGTGTAAACAAGAGTCATCACTAAGGTACAAGAGTATGTGATTATCGAGATATATCAACTTACAGGCGATCCTCAGCCAAAGTCCTCAGATCTTTATGTAAAATCTTTTACTTAATCTGTTACTTAAAATTATCTATTTGATCATGAATCTGCCGAAACACTATGCGTGGCTTTACATGAATATGAAAACATTAATGCTTTGTACTCTCATAAATCCAATGTACCTTCTTGGTACAGGTATGGTGGGGGAGGACGAGGGGACAGGGAAGTGGGGGATGGTGGGGAGGACGATGGAACAGGGGAGTTGGGGATGGTGGGGAGGACGAGGGATAGGGGAATGGTGGAGAGGATGAGGGAACAGGGAAATGGTTGGGAGGACGAGGGAGGGGGGAATACTGGGGTGGACAAGGGGACAGGGAAGGATTGCTGTGGCTCAGCAATGCGCATACATTGCTGAGCCACAGCAACGTGTGGCTGGGTACAAATAGTTAATTAATAAGAATATGCTATTTAGGTATCAAAATGGAGCAATTGTAACAATGTATCAAATTTACAGAGACATGATTTACATTACCATTAACTTGACTTTTTATCACTAACCAAGTCTTCTTAGACAATTTAGACTCACTTTTCAGAATGAACTCACTTATTATTTTTTTTGGTTCCAGAGATCCAAACTCATTCTTACTACACCAGAACTTGAAGAATACCTTCTTAAATTTGGGAATGTTTGACTTAGACTTCACCAAGGTGAGTCAATTATCTTTAGTGCTTAAAGGTATTAGATATTATGTTTTGTGTTTTATAATAGGTACAATATATATTCTTGAACCATAATATGAACGGAATTTCTAACAAATCCTGATGGATTATGTGCCTAAGTTAATTAATTTTTGTTTAATAAATAATATAATAAATTTAGGGGCATTTAATTTTTAAATTTTACCCCAAGGGGCGAGTTTATTGGGCAGCGTCACTCATCCTGTTAGTGGACAGACCGCCATAGAAGCATGTACAACAGTCCCCCAGTAGGAAGAAAACCCGCTGGGTTGTTCATTCTGTCACCTGTACCCAGACACAGCTGGGACTTGCTTAACTGTTTCAAGTGAACAGCTCCTCAAACAAGAAAATTAACATCTGTCAACCCTTAAAATCTTAGGTTATCTTGAGGGAGCAAACCCCTCCCTGTCTGGCCCGTTGTCGCAGTGAGGGAGGCTTAGTGGGTGGGTGCCGGAGTGTGATGCTCCATGGGTCGGTCCTCTGTCCTTTTGCAGCCTTATGCTCCGCTGCTGTCTTTACCAATTGTGCCAACATTTTTTTCCTTTTCCTCATGTTTCCTTTTTCTCTCCCATTTTCTCCTTTCAAATTGTCATTTCCCGCCGATCTTTTGCCTGTTTTGATCATTCTTTTGACCTTCTTTTGTTTTGACGCCTGAGTGTTTGAGGAGGCATACTCTTGCACCCGTAGAACTATAGTACCCACCGTTGCGAGCGTGGTAACCCTTTTATTGTCATTCCTCCTTTCGTCACTGAACCCGATCTCGACAGACTGACGGTTCTTAAGGTAATGTTTGTTGCGCGTATACTCAGGACGCACCCCTAGGGGGCCCCGGCAAGATCGACAATAAGTCTCTTGTTAGGTGTCCTGCCTCTAATTGTGGCTCCGTGGTGGGTGTGGGGGCACATTCGTGAATGAAAGTCTTTCCTTGTTTGTATGTCGATTAATGTTCCTCTTATACCTTCTCGGGCTCGTGCAGTGGGCGACTAAGCTCCCAAGTTGGCCTGTGTTGGAAGACCGGGCTCTGTAGCCCCTGCCGCATTGGGCCCCGACCTTGCGCCTCCTTTGACCCTCCTACTACTCCCCTTGGCTCCCCTCCCTCCTATGTGGTTGGGTCGAGCCCCAAGCCCCTAGTGGTAACCACCTCGTCCCCCGGCATGGCTCAGTCTCTAGTTGTGAATACTGTGCCCTTTCACCCCTCTCTCTCAGGGGGTTCTCAACGCCATCCTTGCCACGGCCGCACTCACTCGATTCCTTCCCGTACTGATGCGTATCAAGCTTTGTTTGGTCCTGCTTCATGGGCCAAATGCTTTAATTTCCTCCCTCTTGACTCTATGCCTCCTGACGATTAGCGTCTCTGTTACTTTCAACCCCACCCGTCTCAGTACACGTGTTTTTGCTGCTCCTTCTCAGTATGCAGCCTCCTGCTTGGCCCCCTTATCCTGTCTTGGCGAACCCTGTGTTCAGGTCTCCAAGAACGCTCGGTTGAATGTCAGTGTTGGCATAATTCTCCTTCTGCCTCATGTTGCAACCGGTGTTCGGAATCTACACTACTGCCACAAAAATATTCGGCACATCCTCGAAGCCCAGGGCCATTCTGTCCTCCAGGTAGACTTGTTTACTCGTCCCCCTCGTGGTCGTCGCCATCAACCCCTTCGGGTTGTGAAGATTTCCTTTGATGGTAGGACCCTTCCACCCTCTGTCATTCTTGCTGGTGCTAGGTGCTCCGTCCAGGAGTACATTCCCTTTCCTCAGCTGTGTAATAAGTGCTAGGAGGTTTGGACATGGAGCCTTCCACTGCTCCGCTAATGTCTCTCTCTGTCCTGTTTGTGGGGACGAAGGTCACTCTAAGTCGGAGTGCACTTCTCCCCAGGCTCGCTGCCTCAATTGCGGTGAGGCCCAACCTACCTTCTCCCGAGCGTGTATACATTACAAGCTTGAGGCAGCCGTCCTCAACTTGAAGCACCGGGAAAGTTTGTCTTTTCCTGAGGCGAGGCGCCAAGTTCGCCGTCTCCCACCTTATTCTAATGTCTCTTATGCTCACGTGTTGCCCTCTTCCTCTCCTCGTCCTTCCCGCCTTCCTCAGTCTCACAACCGTTTCCAGGCCCTAGACTCAGACACGCTCACCGCCTCCTCCTCTGTTCCTTTGAGTTCTGTCCCGAAGGGTCCCCCCTCATGGCTCTCTGTCAGGGGTTCCCCTTTTTTCTACCCAGTCTGTCATGTCTCCTGTGTCTTCTTCCTCGTCTCCCTCCGATCCTCCTTCCCATCCTTCTCCTCTGTCTCTTGGCTCTCCACGCCACTTGTCAGTGCAGGCTAATGTCCATTGCTCTCCCAATGGCCATCGTGTTTGCTCTCGTTCTGCTTCTTCTGTTGAGACACTTGAATCTGTTGCCCAGTACATTGTTGCTGGGACGCCTGTCTCTTTGAGTCAAAAGCAAAAGCCTGGTTCCTCTTCTTCCTCCTCCCTGGCGTTCTTCCTCCTCCTCCCTCGCCCCCTACCTATTTGGTAGGTAGGGGGATATATACCTATATCCTCCTTCCCCCTACCTACCCCCTAGACTCTTGCTTCATCCCTCTCCTGTTTTGGTGGTTGCGCCCCCTGTTCCTGCTATGGAGGTTCCTTTGGCCTCCGCTTCCCCCTCGGTTGCTTCCCTTGCTGAGGTGCACTCCCTGGTTTCTGCCCCTACTGCTGCTGTCCTTGACCCTCAGTTGTGTCCCCCCTCCTCCTGCTCCTGTCCCTGCATGTCCACCTCTGGTCTGTCCTCCCGCTCCCTTCCCTCCATCTTTACTCAGTTTACTCTTGCCCCTTAACCCTGACTTTGCTGACCCTGACCCTGATCCTGCACTTCTTTAAGGTGCTGTGTTCCCTTTTCACCTTTGTTTCTTCGTTGTTCTCTGTTGCTGTCCTTTCTCTTCTTGTTGATGTCTATTCTTCAGTGGAACATTCGTGGTTGTTACGCCAATTTCAAGAACTCCAAATTCTGATTTCATGGTTTTCGCCCCCTTTGTGTCTGTCTCCAGAAGCCGATGCTTGGTGCTTGTCCTGGTCGCTTCCGTGGCTATTCCTTTCTTCCATCCCTCCAGCTGTTGCTGGGGCTCCTAACTCCTTTGCTCTCTTGATTCGCTCTGATGTTCCCTCTGTCTCCTTACTTTTTCCATCGCCTCTGCATTGTTCTGCTGCCCGTATCTTTGTGAGGAAATGGTACAAGGTTTGTTCCATTTATTTATCGCCGAGTGTCCTGCTTTCTCTTCCCGATCTTAAACACCTACTGGACTCCTTGCCGGAGCCTGTGCTCCTGCTAGGTGATTTCAATTGTCGCTATACCCTTTGGGGTGATGTTCTGACAAACACCCGGGGTCCCCTTCTTGAACTGTTCATCCTCTATTCTTCCCTGTCTCTTCTTAATTCTGGTGAGCCCACGCATTTGGACTCTAGGACTCGCACCCTTTCCTGTCTTGATCTTTCTTTCTGCTCATCGTCTCTTTACTTGGATTTCAGGTGGGGAGTTCTTGATGACCTCCATGGCAGTGACCATTTCCCCATCCCTGTTATCTTTTTCTCTTTTCACCCTCCCCCTCTCCTTCCCTAGGTGGCAGTTTGCTAAGGCAGACTGGACCCTATTTACCCTCAGTGGTGCTCTCTCTGACCTCTTGCTTCTACCTCTCCCTCGCTCTCCTCCTTTTTCGTGACACCATCTTCGATGCTGCCATCCTCTCTATTCCTTACTCTTCCTCTCAGGGACCACGGAAGTGCGTTCCCTGGTGGAATGCAGACTGTGCTCGGGCTGTCCACTGTAAGTGTGCAGCCTGGAAGAGAAACCACCGCTGACAAATGGCCGATTCTTTTCTTTTGTTTTGGAAGGCGAGTGCGATGGCTCGTAGGGCCATCCGTATGGCTAAACATGAATGTTGGATGTCTTATGTCTCCACCATTACGTCCGAAACTCCTCTGCCGAAGATCTGGAAGCGTATCTGCAAGATAGTCGGTAAGTTCGTTCTGATGTCTCGCCGGTCCTTCACCTCCATGGTACTCTTGTGGTGGACCAGCTACCGGGTCCACCACAAGAGTAGATCGCTACTGAACTGGGTTCCCACTTTTCTTCGGTTAGCTGAAGTTCTCATCTTCCTCAATCTTTTCTTCTTCGTAAACCTACCCTTGAATCTCGTCCTTTAGATTTCTGCACTCATCTCTGACTTCCCTATAACGATCTCTTCTCTCTCTCTGAACTTCGGTCTGCCCTGGCCCTCTGCGGTTCTACGGCGGCGGGCTCCGATGGCATTCATTATGAGATGCTTCGCCATCTCCCTCCGTGTACGTCTCAGTATTTACTGAGTCTGTATAATCGAATCTGGGAGTCGTCGTCAGTCCCTGAGGACTGGCTCGATGCCGTTGTCCTCCCTGTTCGCAAACCAGGGTCTCTGAGAACATTCTCTAAGGATTTTCGCTCTATTGCCCTCACGAGTTGTGCCTGCAAACTCTTTGAACTTATGGTTAACGTTCGTCTGATGTGGTTCTTAGAACACTATCACCAACTATTCCCTTCTCAATTTGGTTTCTGCAAGAGCTGCAGCACAACAGATGTCTTGGTGAAATTGGAGGTCTATATCGTACTGCTTTTGCTGTGAAGACCTCCGTTGTTGTCGTCCTTTTTGACCTGGAAAAGGCTTAGAACACCCCTTGGCGATTTCATATTCTGTCCCAACTTCATTCTTTTGGCCTTCATGGTAATCTCCCTCTCTTTCTCCAAAGTTTCCTCTCTCGTCGTTCCTTTCAGATGAGGCTTGGTTCTGCTCTCTCTGCTTCTTTTCAGCAACACGGTGTGCACCAAAGTAGTGTTCTGAGCACTATTTTTTTCTGGTTGTCCTCAATGGCCTTCTTTCATCTCTTCCTTCTGGCGTCTTCTCTGCTGTCTATGTCGACGATCTTACCTTTTGCAGTCGGGGTGATGATTCGCCTCTCCTTCAATGGCGGCTTCAACTTGCGATTGATGCCGTGTCGTCTTGGGCCACCGATCATGGCTTCAGGTTCTCTCCGTCTAAGACTTGTGCTATGACTTTTAATCGGAAGCGTGTCGTTCTCCGACCTTCTTTGTCACTTTATGGTCACCCCATTGTGTACAAGGTTTCCGCTAAGCGTTTAGAGTTGATTTTTGACACTCGATTGTCTTGGTCGTCCCATATCTCTTACCTCCGAGTTGAATGTTCTAAGGCCCTTACCCTCCTTCTGGTGTTGTCCCATACTTCTTGGGGAGCAGATAGGCGCACTCCCCTCACTTTACATTCCTCTCTCGTCCTGTCTAAACTCGATTATGGTTGCCATGCTTACTCGTCTGCTTCTCCTTCTACTCTTCGCCATCTTGATGCTTTGCACCATACTGGGTTGTGCCTCAGTTCTGGTGCCTTTCGTTCGACTCCCGTTCTTAGCTTGTATGTTGACACTGGCTTCCTGTTTCTCTAGGACCGCCGTGATCGCTACTGTCTTTGCTATCTTGTGTGGTCCTTGCAAGATCCTTCCTCTCGCCTCTGTCGTGCTTTAACTTTTACCCCTCCTGTGGTTCCTGTTCCTCTTCGCCACCTCTCTTACTGTCCGGTCATCTCGCTTACAGGATTCTCTTTCAGTTCGTATTTCTAATATTTCTCCCCGTGTTGTTCCTTCTTTGCCCTCATAGAGACTCCCCCTTCCACAGTTTTTTACATCCTTAACCCGCATCACTAAAGCTTTCACTAAAGCTTTTACCCCTCCTACGGTTCTGAAACGCCTTTTCCTTGAGCACTTTTCTTCACACTTCCGCTCCGTTTCCATCTTCACCGATGGGTCTAAGTCTGCGGACGGTGTAGGCTACTCTGTTGTTTTTCCTGACAGCACTTATATGTGTCGCTTACCTCCGGAGACTAGCATCTTCACAGCGGATTTCATGCTATTCTCTATGGTTTTCATCTCCTGCTTTCTCATTGTCAATCTTCCTTTGTAGTTGTTGTTGACTCTCGTAGTGCCCTCATGGCTCTCGAGTCCTTTAATCCAGTTCATCTAGTGGTTGTCGAGATCCAGCATTGGCTGTTTCTTATTCACAGTAAATTTAAGTCAATTGAGTTTTGCTGGGTTCCCAGGGATATTGGTGTCTCTTTAAATGAGTGTGCAGATGCTCCCGCTAGGGAAGCTGTCTGCTCTTGTCCCATCGCTCGTAAAGGTATTCCTTATTCCGACTTTTACCCAGTTATTCATTCCTCCATCCTTACCGGTTGGCATGCGTACTCTTACGAGTTGTGTCCTCATGGCCGTCCTCCTACCACCGTAACCAGCGATGGGAAACGGCTCTAGCGAAGTTGCATATTGGCCATACTCGCTTAGCTCATGGTCACTTAATGGAGCGCCGCCCTGCTCCTTATTGTCCAAATTACACTGTCCCTCTTACAGTCGTGCATATCCTTGTTGAATATCCTGACTTCCGGGACGGGCGTGTATCTTGTTTTCTGACCGTCCCCCGCGGTCGCTTGTCCCTCGATAGAATTCTTGGTGAATCGGATGCTTTTGATATCGTTCACCTTATGCGTATCTGTTCTCGTATTGGCATCCTTGGTGATATTTAGCGGCCTCTGATTATTCCGCACATTTGATGGTGCTACATAGCCTTCCCGGTTTGGTGCCTTCTTTTGATAATTACTTAGTTACTATAATTCCTCTCAGGTAGTGGTCAAGGCGGTGTCCATCACTCTCATCACAGATTCTGTAACACCGCTTCTCAACTGTTTAAATAACCTCAAAGTGAGGTTATTTAAATTTGTATGTAAAGCATTAGAAGTTATCTACGACGTGGTAATTTAATTATGGGAAATAAGATTATTAATTAAGTTATCCTTGGTCATTCTTTCCTCCTCCACCTCTTCCTGCATTATTGCATTGCCTCTCTCTAGTTCATCTATGCTTTCCTGAAGGTCTACTATGCTATTGGCCTTCCTTCACTCCTCATGTGCTCCTCTAATGCCGTAGATATCTTCCATATGGTTAGGTTTATATCCTTTGGATGTATTATCTATCCAATTCTTCCCTTCTAGTTGACCAAAGGAAACTCTAGCAACACTGCAGGTACACCAGCTGAGTAGGGCGTGCATTAACTGCATAATGACTCACACTCCTACGACACTGATCGGCGATCTGGCGGCTTCTGGTCAATATTGGTGAAGTAGGAGATGATGTGGCGGCTCCTGGTCAATATTGGTGAAGTAGGAGATGGTGTGGCGGCTCCTGGTCATAATTGGTTTACTGGGAGGTGGTGTGGTGGCTCCTGGTCAATATTGGTGTACTGGTAGGTGGTGTGGTGGCTCCTGGTCAATATTATTATACTGGGAGGTGGTGTGGTGGCTCCTGGTCAATACTGGTGTAGTGGGAGGTGGTGTGGCGGTTCCTGGTCAATACTGGTGTAGATGAAGGTGGTGTGGTGGCTTCTGGTCAATACTGGTGTAGTGGGAGGTGGTGTGGCGGTTCCTGGTCAATACTGGTGTGGAGGAAGGTGGTGTTGTGGTGAGTGTTGACCTCTGGCCTGGCTGGTGAGGTACAGGTCAACCCTCCTCACCCCGTGTTACTGGATACCTCACGATATGTTACACTTTCCTCAAATATGCTATTTCTACTTTGAGTCTTTAACCTTTTTTTTCTTTTTGTCAGTTTGTCGGGTATTTGTTCACACGTATACACTTTTCCACGGCGATATTGCCTGTTTTTCCCTCTCAAATGAATATAAAATACTGGAGCTCTCAATCCCCGGCGCTTGTCAGGTCTGCTGTACTCAGCGGCACTCATAAGAGTCATCACTCAAGGCTGGACACACTCGATTTGAGCTCAAAATATCTCCAGTCTCTATTGTTTATGCCATATCAAATAGTACGCACTTGTATTTCTCACTCCAATCACGCAACACCTCAGTCACACTTGTCCTCGCTGTGCCCTCAGACATTCACACTAGTCCTCGCTGTGCCCTCAGACATTCACACTAGTCCTCGCTGTGCCCTCAGACATTCACACTAGTCCTCGCTGTGCCCTCAGACATTCACACTAGTCCTCGCTGTGCCCTCAGACATTCACACTTGTCCTCGCTGTGCCCTCAGACATTCACATTAGTCCTCGCTGTGCCCTCAGACATTCACACTTGTACTCGCTGTGCCCTCAGACATTCACACTAGTCCTCGCTGTGCCCTCAGACATTCACACTAGTCCTCGTTGTGCCCTCAGACATTCACACTAGTCCTCGCTGTGCCCTCAGACATTCACACTTGTTCTCGCTGTGCCCTCAGACATTCACACTTGTCCTCGCTGTGCCCTCAGACATTCACACTAGTCCTCGCTGTGCCCTCAGACATTCACACTAGTCCTCGCTGTGCCCTCAGACATTCACACTAGTCCTCGCTGTGCCCTCAGACATTCACACTTGTCCTCGCTGTGCCCTCAGACATTCACACTAGTCCTCGCTGTGCCCTCAGACATTCACACTTGTCCTCTCTGTGCCCTCAGACATTCACACTAGTCCTCGCTGTGCCCTCAGACATTCACACTTGTCCTCGCTGTGCCCTCAGACATTCACACTAGTCCTCGCTGTGCCCTCGGGTACCTTAACCACTGACAGTTTGCGTCTCGACTGGCCGCGGTACTCGTACCACAGACAGGAGGACGTTAATGAAGATGATTGTGCTGTAACTTTTTTTAGTCTTGAAGACACTGCTAGATAGTCTTAGATGATTGGTGCACGCAATTAGGGGGTCACGTAGTAGCGAATAATTAGTATGGGAATCATTTGCTATAAAATTGAGTTATATTCATTTATTTTCAGGCCAATACTACGGACCTGGTATGGCATTACCTGTACAGTGGTCTTCTTCCCAACTTGCGAGCAGGAGAGCTGTACAATGGCAAGCCTCCGTATGGGCTGCGAGGGTTCCTCAATGACCAGACTAACCGCATCATGGGCTATGCCACCGTCAGACAGGTCCGCATCGCGGGCACAGAGTGCAGGTACTCACCACCATCTTCTTGTCAAGGTTTAACAACTACATATGCCTTAATTATTCTTCAGCTAAGACTATTAGACTCTCTGACAACACCTGTCATGCTACAGATGACACATTTATACTCTCAAATATCACCCATGATTGACAGCTTTGACTGTCACTCACTGGCGTGACCTATTGCTGACATTTCAGAGTATCAGACCTAGTAATATCATCCATGATTGGCTGCGTGCACTCTTACCTCTGATTTCCTTTGTGAATTAATTAACCATCAATAAATTGTTGTTTATATTTTTAAATGCCATAATTCATTACAAATAAAATATATAAAAGCCCAAATCTCGAATTAATATTATTACACATTATTATTTGTTTTGAAAACATAAAATAGGTTTTATTTCATAAGAAAAATATTGGTAAATATTTTCATTCTATCCTTGAAGTGATAATTGTTTTTAATTATCTTTCTAAATCATTATTTAAAACTTATGAATTTGTTAAAAATTATTTGAATATATTTTAAATCTGAAAACATTATACATTTTGGAATTTGTTAAAAATCATAACCAATCAATTTTAGAGCATTGTAAGAAAATTGCTTCAAAATTTGATGTAAACTTACTGAGATAATAAACAGAATTTAAGGACGTAAATAATGATAAGGAAATTGTATTTTCCGACCAATAATGCAATGCTTAAAATCAACAATATTGTACTGATATAAATAACTTTTCATTTTCTTTATAATTGCTAATATTTAATTAACCTGATTGTGTTTAAAGTGCTTACATGAGTAAAAAGACTATCCAGCAACTCTTCAGTATTGCCAATATGCCAACCCGTCCTCCTGTTTACATAGTATTGTTTGTAACTATGTGCACCATCGTACGTATGTTGACGCAATGGACAATTAGATGAATTTGGCACTGGTGTAATTATAGGGATCCACAGCCATGCAGAGAAGAAAATAAAGAGGATTCAGAGATCTCGTGGATTCTCACTGAACACTTTGATATTTTCCTCTCCTACCACCCCAATTTTTGCTTTTTCTTAAATTTTATTTTATTTTATTACATTGGTGCAGTTTACAGAGTTCACACACATAACAATCAATGTTGAAGACCTCATCCAGCTCTCCGGAGGTTGAGTATGTACCCAAGATACAGCAAGCATTTCCTCTCTGGACTGCGACACTGAGGCGCTGGAAAAGGAAACTGGCCGCTCTTGAGTCTTTAGAGTTCCCAAATGAGTTCCCCACCGACCTCCTTTTGGAACTTTAATGGACATTTTCCTTCATTCGCCCAGGGTTTCAGAGCCTATCGGTACGAACCTGTAACAACGTTCTAGGTCCCTGTATTTGATAGTTTTCTGGGTCTCTCTGAAGGTGGCCTCCCCACCTCTCTCAGCTATACTGCGAGGTAGATATGTATCAGCCAATGTAGACACGCACATGTAGTCCCACACGACCTGATTAGCAACCCTTCATGGCGTCAGGGTGACTCCGTCTGGACGTTTGTTACTGTTCTCAGGTGTATACAGCTGAGGTTCCCTTTGTGCTGGACCCAGCTGTAGCCAAAGTTCTGTTGATGATGTCGTTGATTGCTTCATGCCTGAACAATCTTTCCCGGTGACTTACGACAAACGAGACCCTGGCTGCCGTATTGATCAGGACACGCATAACTGCAAATACACCGGTGTTCGGTGGAGATAGGGGCAGCAAGGCACAGGGCAACACCAAAACTTAGGGCCCGATGGTCCAAGCGGGTGCCTAAGGCGGAATTAGGGACGAACAACAGGAAGTTCCCGGCATGTGGGAGCTTGCATAGCTAGGAGACGTGCTTTTCCCTTCCTTGACGCTGCCTCCAGCTATGCTGTGGCAATGTTCTCCACTATGGGGCTGTCCCATTTGGCCTGTTTGCAGTCGTTTGGAAAAGTTGGTCGAGGGCAAGGGTTGGCAAGATTGTCCCACTGGCCGACTCCGTCCGCGAATTTGGGATCATGAATCCCATTGGAGTCTCTAAGGTATTCGTAATCTCTTAGATAGTCCTAATTCTCTTCCCTTAGATTTCACTAGCAGTAGATCCACTAAATAGGACTCCTGTGTCCCTGCCAGGCTGCCATCGTCCAGGAACTAGATGTTGATTTCGCTGGTCAACCTGCTTGTGACTGCTTTAGTAGCCATGCAGGAAAGGAAAGGGGCAAGTGGGTCTCCCTGCTAGTGGGACACCTTTTGCAGAAACAACTTCATGTTCACCAAACAACAGTGCCGATTCCCCACTGTACCCTACTGAAACGAAGGGGAGTAGACCAGGAAAGCTTGTTCGAACTACTTCCAATATCACATCCCTTTTTACCTGGTTGAAAGCATTTTAATATCTATTTTAATCAATGCCTTATATTCTGGGAGGTGCTTAATATTGACTCGTGCTGCATGAGCTGCTGCTTCACAGCCATGGGGGACACCAAAACCTAGTTGATGGGGTCGAAGCATCATTGCAGCTTCCATGTGGCCGTTTCTGACAGCTGCCCTGGCAATGAGGCGCCGAAGGGTGTTACCCACGGCAATGGGTCTGACCTCACAATCCTTCTTCTTAAGGGCACAAAGGGAGGATCCGAAGAAGAAGGGTTTAATTGTATTTGGGATCAACACAGAGAGGCAGTTGCTGACAAACGTCGTGACCTCTGACAGTAGTGTTTCCGGAACTTCGCCGAGAACTGGGTTTACCATCTCACTGAGTTGCTGAGGTCTTACTTAATCCAGTGTATCCCCCTGCTGAGCCTGACAGAAATGACATGATGGCTTTATATACCTCTAACGCTTGGAGGAATAAAGGTCCCATGTCTTGGACATTTTTGTCCCGAGCAGTGGGTTCCCATGGTACTCTGGGAGGGTGCTTCTCTCTCAGTGTATCGACAGTAGCAGTATTTCTAAGTGCGATTGTTTCTTCACTGGTAAGTAACTTAATTGCCCCTACTGTGTTGCCCTCTTCAATTTTTTTTGGTCACTTGTGTTCCTAATTTACAATTGTCATTGGAACTCTTCGGTCTGCCACGGCAGTTTCTACTTTGAGGAGCGATGGGGATCAGGTGGTCAGATCTAGGGAAATTATTTATTGCCCTAGTGACTAATGAGGCTAGCGACTTGCCCCCTCTTGCAGATACGCCTAAGCAAAAATTGCCAAACAGGAGCAAATTATGCCATGCTCTGATGGTGCTCTCGGCATTAGGATTTGCAGACCATTCATTTACTTTGCTGAGAAGGTTTGTACATATCCCTGCTGCAAATGGGCGCGCTGCTTTTGGGATGTGTGGAAGATTTCTGGTGGTGGAGGCTTTGATTGCCCCCAGGAGGTAATCTGATGACAGGTAATTTACTGGGAGGAGTGGGGTTGCCGGGGGACCAGTTCCCAGGACCGAGTCCTTGGCTGAGGGGATCCTGGTTAGTTTTAGCAGTCCCCTCCATTCCCAGGGTGAGCTGAGAAATCGGCGGGACCCGAGCAGGCCCTGGGTGGGCCTGCTCGGCCCACCCAGTGTGGGAGATATTGTGTATTGATGTGGGAGAGTGAACAGTGTAGTGGCTTTAGCTGTCCGATGCACTCACTACTCATATGAGCACTTGTGTCTTCCTCCCTCTTCGGAGAAATCCTGTATGCGTGCTGAGACCTGTTCCATGTCTAGGTGCATAGAGGGTAACGCATCTCTGCCACAAACACTGTATGCGCCGTAAATGGGTGGCTGAAGGACGCCTGGGTGCTGTATGGGGCGAGGTACGGTGGTGTGGTGAGACAGGCTAGCGGGGTGGAGGGGTGTTGCCAGGCACCGTTCGGCTTGAAGGGGGGTCAGGGTGACCCCCCCCCCCCCGTTAAACACTGCTATAATTTTCTTGTATATCACTGCCCAATGGGTGAACGAATTTTACACTTGTAATCTGACACACTATGAGCTGTATTAACTCTAAACACGATTGCTGATTTTTTCTCTTTGTTCTTTCCCTAAACAAATTTTGATAAACACTCGTAGCACACGGGTGACCTCCCCCCTCCCCTCGCCCGACCTCACGACACCCCCCCCTCCCAACATCACAGCGGTAGCACTAGTTTATATATATATATATATATATATATATATATATATATATATATATATATATATATATATGTCGTACCTAGTAGCCAGAACTCACTTCTCAGCCTACTATGCATGGCCCGATTTGCCTAACAAGCCAAGTTTTCCTGAATTAATATATTTTCTCTAAATTTTTTCTTATGAAATGATAAAGCTACCCATTTCATAATGTATGAGGTCAATTTTTGTTCATTGAGTTAAAATTAACGTAGATATATGACCGAACCTAACCAACCCTACCTAACCTAACCTATCTCTACAGGTTAGGTTGGGTTATGTAGCCGAAAAAGTTATGTTAGGTTAGGTTAGGTAGGTTAGGTAGTCGAAAAACAATTAAGTCATGAAAACTTGGCTTATTAGGCAAATCGGGCCTTGCATAGTAGGCTGAGAAGTGAGTTCTGGCTACTAGGTACGACATATATATATATATATATATATATATATATATATATATATATATATATATATATATATATATATATATATATATATATATATATATATATATTGGTAGCAGTCTTTCCTGTAGACATATATTATTAAATATGACCGAAAAAGTAAGATTAATAATTCTAACACGAATTTTCTCGATCTTTCGTACATTTCTTTTCACTATTGGTGGTAATTCAAAAATCAATTCTCCAAAATTCATTTTTATTTCTAGTCTGACGCGACACTTGAGCGCGTTTCGTAAAACTTATTACATTTTCAAAGACTTTAGTTTACACATACACAACTGAATAGAACTTACACATCTCCGATTTGTTTATATCTACATTTGAGTGAGGAGGATGGGGTGAGGTGGTATTAATAGGGTATTAATTTCATCAACACAAGACAGAACACGAAACAATGGGTATTGAATGGAAGTGATTGTAGAAAACCTATTGGTCCATATTTCTTGATGCTTCTATATTGGAGCGGAGTCTTGAGGTGGGTAGAATATAGTTGTGCATTAATTGGCTGTTGATTGCTGGTGTTGACTTTTTAATGTGTAGTGCCTCGCAAACGTCAAGCCGCCTGCTATCGCTGTATCTATCGATGATTTCTGTGTTGTATAATAGGATTTCTCTGGCGATGGTTTGGTTGTGGGAAGAGATTATATGTTCCTTAATGGAGCCCTGTTGCTTATGCATAAGCATGAATGAACATGAATAGTGAACATGAATATTTTATGTTCCACATACTGCAGCCTATATATATATATATATATATATATATATATATATATATATATATATATATATATATATATATATATATATATATATATATATATATATATATATCGTATTTATTAGCCAGAACGCACTTCTCGGCTTACTGTGCTGGGCCCGATTTGCCTAATAGGCCGAGTGATTTTCTTTATTTAAAAAAATCCATTTGGTTTATTTGGATTATTATTATTATTTTATCTGAAGAACGTAAAATATTGACTTAGTTATGTTATTGTCGATCAAGGTGCGGCTGGGATCATCCCGGACGTAAATTCGAACCCTCATCACGGCCTTTGTTTATTAATGGATGTACATGTAGACTCTATATTATGTACTTGTAGACTCAATATCTCGTCTATATGTCCATAATATAGAGTCTATATGTACACCCTGTCAGGCCCCTACATGTATGAGGCCTGACAGCTGAGTGGACAACGCTTCGGATTCGTAGTCCTGAGATTCCGGGTTCAATCTCTTTTAGCCGGAAACAAATGGGCAGTTACTTTCACCCTGATGCCCCTGTTACCTAAGAGTAAATAGGTACCTGGAAGTTAAACAGCTGCTATGGGCTGAATGAATGTGTAACAAAAAGGAGGCCTGGACGAGGACCGGGCCGCGGGGATGCTTAGCCACGAAAGCATCTCAACATAACATAACATACATAATATAGAATCAACATGTACATAATATAGTCTACACGTACATAACAAAGAGTCTACATGTACATAATATAATGTACATGTTGCTTAGATATTATGTAGATGTAGACTCTATATTATGTACATATTGACTCTATTATGTACATGTTGACTCTACATTATGTACATGTAGACTCTATATTATGTACATGTTGATTCCATATTATGTACATGTAGACCTCTCTATTATGTTCATGTAGACTAAATATTATATACATGTAGACTCTATATTATGTTCATGTAGACAATATTATGTATATGTATTCTCTTTATTATGAATGTTGTTATTGCCCCATGTAGCCTGGCTGGAACGAGTCTACTTTTGTGAAAGTTATTCCGCCTTCCGGACATGATTGAGAGGTCAGAGGAAAGATGTATATTATTAAAAATATAATAAACGTCAGTGAATAATTTAAAATATGAGCAGAAGATGAGCATTTAAATAAGTGACAATAAATGGATGTCGATACTTTTTTGACATAACGTGAGGCTAGCAAGACGTCGTGACCTCACTTGAGCTTCAGTAGTCGTCAGAGATTTTTTTTTTTTTTTGCAGGGATATTCCTGCGCGGGCCCCAAGCCTCTGGCTGGCCCACTAAGTGTTGCTTGTTTCTGTTTTACTTGGGCGGAGTATGAGTATTTATTACTCGTATGGTCGCTTCAGTAAGATTTTGCCATATGTGTTTAACAACTTCTTCTGCTCTGTTGAGTCTAAGTTGAAATCTTAATGGTTTTGTAACTGTCGTCAGAGATGGATGAGTTTTGTTGATCACTTGTGAGAAGGAAGAATATAGTTCCCCATGTTAGTGGTGGGGCGAAGGCTACTTGTTTGTAAGTGTGAGGAAGCTGTTGGGGACTTTGTACATCATTTCAATGATTTTGATAATTAGAAGCGGCCTGCAGGTGAGTGTTTGGTCGCACCATTATGGAACTCTAATTGCATTGCTTCTTCAAGAGGAAGGAAGCAAGCAGGCGGATCTGTTGTGGAGCATTCTCGGTGACTCCGCGTACTCAAGTCGGGACTAGACGAAGCCTTGTGAGGTAGTCCTATAGCGATTTTTGTGGCGGCCTGTGTGAGTGCCTGTGTTGAGGACATGGGCATCAGGGGCCCTATGTTATAGATCCCGTGATTTGTGTGGGAGAGCTGCAACGTTTGTGTGGGAGAACTGCAACGTTTGTGTGGGAGAACTGCAACGTTTGTGTGGGAGAACTGCAACGTTTGTGTGGGAGAACTGCAACGTTTGTGTGGGAGAACTGCAACGTTTGTGTGGGAGAACTGCAACATTTGCGTGGGAGAACTGCAACGTTTGTGTGGGAGAACTGCAACGTTTGCGTGGGAGAACTGCAACGTTTGCGTGGGAGAACTGCAACGTTTGTGTGGGAGAACTGCAACGTTTGCGTGGGAGAACTGCAACGTTTGCGTGGGAGAACTGCAACGTTTGCGTGGGAGAACTGCAACGTTTGTGTGGGAGAACTGCAACGTTTGTGTGGGAGAACTGCAACGTTTGTGTGGGAGAACTGCAACGTTTGCGTGGGAGAACTGCAACGTTTGCGTGGGAGAACTGCAACGTTTGCGTGGGAGAACTGCAACGTTTGTGTGGGAGAACTGCAACGTTTGTGTGGGAGAACTGCAACGTTTGCGTGGGAGAACTGCAACGTTTGCGTGGGAGAACTGCAACGTTTGTGTGGGAGAACTGCAACGTTTGTGTGGGAGAACTACAACGTTTGCGTGGGAGAACTGCAACGTTTGTGTGGGAGAACTGCAACGTTGGTGTGGGAGAACTGCAACGTTTGCGTGGGAGAACTGCAACGTTTGTGTGGGAGAACTGCAACGTTTGTGTGGGAGAACTGCAACGTTTGTGTGGGAGAACTGCAACGTTTGTGTGGGAGAACTGCAACGTTTGTGTGGGAGAACTGTAACGTTTGTGTGGGAGAACTGCAACGTTTGCGTGGGAGAACTGCAACGTTTGCGTGGGAGAAGTTAGTGAGAAAACTCCGTACCGGAGGAGGAGTATAAGTTGAACTGCAAGGTGGTGCAGGACTTCAAGTTAAGGAGTGGAACTCCAGAAACATAGTGAATCTTCGAGTAATTTAGAGAGCTACACGTCGTTTGTGTGAAGCGTTTGGAGAGTTTCACTGACATTCAAGGAGGACTTCATGTGAAGCTGATTGGAGCAACTACAAGAGTACCTTACATGATATTTTGAGGACCCAGATTCATAATTGTACTAGGGGACCTCGAGTAATGGAACAGAGGGTCATATGGACATGATGATGTTTAAGGAAGTGCTTGTTTGCGTTTTGGCATAAAAGGAGCAGTGCAAGGTGAAAGATTGATGCTTTTCTGTTGAGTAGGAAATATGTGAATATTTTATGTGCCACATACTGCAGCCTAAAACAGTGAAGGGAGCTGAAGGTTGTAGGCTGAAGTTTAAGCAGCAGCCTAATACAGTTATTGGTTGGAGATATTGGAGTGTTATCAGTTGGTAACAGCGTAAGAGGTTGTATTGTTTTATTACTATTCCCGTATGAACATGTGTATTGTATGTGTTTTTGTATTAAATGTCACCTTTGTTAGCTGGCTTTTTCTCTTGTCTTGCTGAGACTTCCAGCCTAGAGTGAGAGAGGACACGGATATAACTTGGGTGATAGTGGACTATAACTAACTAAGGGGGATTGAGAGATCCTCCCACAGTAAGGAGAGTGCGGGGAGACACAGAGGCTCGAGAGCGGGTGTGTGACCATGACAACTAGGCAGTAGAGCCGTACCCCTGAATAAAGGTGACACCGAACCCCTCTCCCAGAACCAGACGCCAGGGTGATCTAAATAAATGCAAGCACTCCAGGGTCAATTGCTGGTCGACCGACGGTAGCGGGAGTGTGGCTGTTGAGGTCGGCTGTTTTTCTGTCAGGGAGTGGTTGGGATCTCTGTTAGATGGTAGGCTAGTATCAGGGTGGTTCAGATAACAAAGTTTTAATGTATATAAAACAAACCCCTAACCCCCCCCCCCCTTCCCTGATAATATGTTGACTAGATATTATTTACATGCAGACTCAATATTATGTACATGTAGATTATATATTATGTACATGCAGACCAGATATAATGTACATGTGGACTAGATATTATATACATGTAAACTCTATATTATGTATGTGTAGACTAGATATTATGTATGTATAGACTATATTATCTATGTGTAAACTCAGAAATAATTTCCCAGAATTACCTGAGGGGCCCCTAACACTCTAGAGGTCTCGACGAGGCCAGGAAGTCGGGTGATTGTCAAAGGTCTCCCCATTTTTCCTGAGGATTTTTTCAAGCTTGATTTAAAAGTTGAGTCGAGTTGTAGTATTTACGGCTTCGGCGGGTAGGCGGATCCATGGCACTAGGAACATTAACCATGAGCTGAAGCATAACTGCTGCTGACTATCTGGAAATTGACCGCCTCGCTACTCACCACACTGATTACAGTAAAAACCTTCTAAAACTTCATTCACGGGAATTTAGGACCTCACCCCTCTTCTTTGGAGGCATTTTTTTGTTAGTTTTAGCCACGACAGATAAATATATCGAATTTATGATTGGTTCTGGTTTACAGTGTTCCACGACCGATGCGGGGGCTGGTTGAACATTGTGATGGCACCGGCTCCATAATAGAGGAGGACACCGAGGACTACTGTGGGGGCTGGATCCCCCTCAACACCTACACCAAGAACTTCTCTCAGTGTTCTATACCAGAGTTCAGGTGATGTGTTGCCTCGTGTAGCCACCTCCTGGCTCCCAGGGTGGAGTCTGTAATATGTTCTCATAGCTGGCTCTAAGGTGGGCTGGGGGTGGGTCTGGGTCTGTCTCTGTCCGTCTCTGTCCGTCCGGCCGTCCGGCCGT